GTGCGTTTGGCGCAGGACAGAGCAGGGTTTAGGGCTGTTGTGCATAGGGTCGCTATGAGTCGGAAACGACTCGACGGCACATAACAACAACAACAAGTAAATTTTGCCTTTCTAGACCTTATTTTGTGTAGCTGTAAATCTTTTGAAATAGAGTTGATATTTTTTTCCCCCTGAAAAATCAGGGTGGTAGATTTCATAGCTAAGAGCAGTAGGAGAGGTAACTTCCCTCTTAGGTAGCTTGCAGTTGGAGCGCTAAAGCAGCCATCGACAACCCATAATCAAGTGAATGTAGTTGTGTGTCAATAAAACTTTACTCATTTGGATATTGATAGTAGAATTTATATAATGTTTAAATGTCACACAGTATTATTTTATGTTCAACTTTTTTTTTTCAATTTTATGTTCAATTTTTAAAAAATGTAAAACCCATTCTTAGCATGTGGGGCCTTATAAAAACAGATGGCAAGACATATTTTGCTTATAGACTGTAGTTTGCCAGATCTTATATTTAAGCCAACAAAACCTAGTTGGCAATGACTGAGAAATCTTAAGTGGTTGTAGTAGCTGTAGTATAATTTTTTCAACCTCAAGATAATGAAATAAAACTTGGTTAGGGCACTTTAGGGGATGTTGTTGTGTATCATCAAGTTAGACCTGACACGTAGCTGAGTTTACAGAGACAGTTAATAGCATGGGAGGAGACTGCTCTTTCTTCTGCAAAGCACCTGCTGGATTTGAATCGTGTGGCTTCGGGATTGCAGTGCAGCTTCTTACCACTGGGCCACCAGAGCTCTGGTGTAGGGGATAAAAACATTAAATTAAAAAAAAATGAGAGAGGAAAAAAAATCCCTAGTGTTAAGTTATTTTTACAATGCAAATGGACAGTGCAGCTTTCTAAGGTAAAGTAGTATGTTTAAGGCTGAGCATAAGGTTGAGCATAAATCTTCAGGTCGAAGATTGTTGCCAGTAATATGAAATACTGAGGAACTGTCCAATCAAATAGTAAAATTATTGAAATATGATGATTGTGTTTCCCTATGATGAATATAAAAGAAATACTTTACTCTTCTCACATCCTAAAATTTGGGGAAATACTTAAATATTCCTAAAACTTGAATAGTTTGTCAAATTTTAGATATTCTGAATTCATAATAGCTTTTGGGTTTGGAATGGATTGTTGTTGTTAGGTGCTGCTACGTTGAGTAGTGACCCTGTGATCAGAGATCTGAGCCCTGTCCTATCCTGACTTTCTGATATACTGGAGCCCATTTCAGCAGTCACTGTATCAGTCAATCTAGTTAAGAGTCTTCCTCTCTTTGGCCAACCCTCCACCTTCCCAAGCATGATGTCTATCTCCAAGAAATAACCTCTCAGCAACATGCCCAAAGTACGTGAGACAAAGCTTTATCATCTTTGCCTCCAACGAGCTCTCTGTCTGGCTTTACTTTCTCCAAGACATACTAGTTTATTCTTTTTGCAGTCCCTGG